ATAAATCATAATCATAAATACATTATACATAAGTTATAATCATGCAAAAATGCAATTTTCGAGAAACTGCGGCACTTCCCTTGTGAAAAGACTTCCCGGTGGAGGGGCGGATTTGGAGGCGGTGTAAAATCAACGCGTTATGACACATCAGCGCCATTGGAAGAGTCTCGCAATCGGCATAACGCAAGGTTAATTCGCGAAATAGACCAATGTGAGCAACTGCGAAGGCAGAAACGGCGAAATAAAGAAGACTGTAAAAGAGAAGGAGAAGCTATGAGATTGAAGCCACAGAAAAACGGAGTGGAAAGCTGCGGTATTTCTGGTTTCGCCCTGAACTTGCAGTATAGCCCTTGACCGTAGCTACCCGAGCCAGCGCCCATCGTAGATTAGATGCAGGGTGTGGCCGTAAGCACCATGCGTAGAACGAGGAAACGAGAAGAACCACCGCAAAGAGGAAACCTATCACCTTTTCCGGTTGTCCTTTCCCAGCCGGCTCCTCCTGAAACTCATAAACCCTGTCGTGAGGGCAATGATGGCCATAAAATGCGTAGAATACCGAGTCACTTACGCCAAACTTGGCCAGGCAGACACCTACCTGTTTTATGGCTACACGGGTCTCAGAACATAACCCTTTGGAACCGTCATAATGGGCCCATTCTCACAATGCCCTGATATATGAGCCCATAATTCTGGCCGGCAAATTAGAAATAGCAAATTTCCGGGCCTGAAGAACCTGAGTCACTCCTCTATTTTGGTTCCACCTCGGCATTTTAGGAAAAAAATCCGCGCCAAAGCTGTCGCTGACTTCAAAAAGTCCATTCAGCCTTCTCCCCTGTTCTTGTGCAGCAAAAGTTAGCGAGTACGACTATTAACGGTTTTTTCAGGATAACTCAGAACTTCTGAAGTTTTCGCTGAATTCCTCTCGAAGTCTCAGTTTCAGTAATGAGCTTGTTGTAAGTACAAGTCATAAAATAAAAGTTCCAAAAAGAATCATTAGTGTTTTCTTGAGAAAAACCCATTTAGGCGACCAATTCATTTGCTTTTTGGCCGCGTCCACCCAGTTTCTGCAAATCTTTCCATCTGCTTCCCTGTAGTGAAACATGTGATAGCAACATTTTGTCGAAGGTTACGGTATTCCAAGGCCAAAAATATCAGGAGTAAGCCAAAAACAGTATCCTTTGAAATATTGAGTGTGAGAAAATGGAAGAGACATATGCCTTTAGGTCAGGTCGCGTGCGAAAAGGGAAATCTGCGCGGTTCTCGGCGATTCTGAAATTACTGCATGCGCTACCGCAAGATACGGGGGCATTGTGGGCAACCATTCAAAATCGTAGGTGAATATATCCTTTGGTTGAAATCAGGGCTGAGCCTTTAGCCGGAGAGGACATACTCCAGAATGTGCGAGTAATTTTCAGTTTGTCCGAAGGTCCTGTCCCTCCTATGTCATAGTTCTAGGCAATGCCCCCTTATTTGTGCAGCGTAGCGCCTGTTACGCGCAATTGATTGCACCAGGCCGCGTGGATTTGCCGCTCATGTCGCGCGGCAGCTTGTTATTCTCGTGAGATTGCTGAGTATCTGCATTTGAGTACTTTTTTGCCGGTTTTCGCGACAAAATATACAAAATAGGTTAGGATAGCCTCATTCCAGTTTTGTGGATAATCGCAACGCGCTGCGACGCGACACGCAACGGATCGTTCACAGCTCTAAAGCGGTTCTGGACTCAATTAACAATTATTTTTATGTTACTTATCAATTACATACATGTGTAGGCTAGACGTTTCTAGCACAAAAAAGGCAATGTGCCTCCGGGGGAGGGGAGGACAGTCTGTGAGATGTCCACTAGAAGTAACCGTAACGGAGCGGGAGAAGTTCCGGAAAGAGGGATCGACGTGTATACATCTCGGGTTCCCCCTTCTCCCCTGACCATAAGGCTTAGTCCTAGAATGATCGTATCCCTGAATCTGAAGCAGCTTTACGGGCTGGACACTTCCTCCACCCCTCGCCCCCGGAAGAAACACTGCGCCAGACAAAAGAACAAAATAAAAAAGTGGTACAACCGATAAACAACTAAGAAAGCCAGGAGAAAGGCTACTGAGTCATCAAGCAGCAGACATCTCCAGATAATGAGATATCGCTCATTCGAATTCAAAGAAAGGACCTGCGATTTCAAGATCTTTACTCATTTTCACACACCTCATTCCCCGGCGTGTGAAAAACCCGCGCCTCGGAAAGCGGTTTGCCGAAAGACAAGTTTGAGTTTCTTTTCGTTTTCTTGAGAAAGTTCGACAACAGCACAGGCCAGGATAGCCTTGCTCCAGTTTCATGGGTAATCGCAGCGCGCTGCGATGCAGCGTCGACACCCAACGGATCGTTCACAGCTCTGAAGCAGTTCTAGACTCCATTATTAATTAATCATTGCAGCGCGCGTGCGTTGCTGAGCTATAAATATTTTCGTAGGATTTGTAGTGGTTTTTTTTGGTTGTCCAAGCAGCAGCCATTGATGGAAAAATTTATGACAGAACAATAGCACGACAATGCAGAAAATTCTCGAGGGGTTAAATAAAAAGCAGAAGGACCAGGGCACTCCGCGCCAATTGTACCTTTGTTTGAGATAAGCCCCACATTCGACCTTCATTCGGAAAGACAATGGCGTTTTGAGTGCGCAATTTGGCCTATTCAACGACCTATAAAGCGAGTTTATACAAGACAAGCTTGGTGCTTATGAAGCGACCTGAAGTAGTGGAAAGCAAGGTTGACGTCCGTCATTTGACGACATCTGACCTATAAACCATGACAAACGGCGCCACTTGCCGCTGCGCCACCGCAGTACGAGTACCAGTCTCCTGGTATTCAAAGATGGCCCCGGGGTAAAACTGGTATGCGGAGCGTTTCGTATGTTGCATTACGTTAGCTGCGGAACGAACCTGAAAGTGGAAAGGAAAGCAAGAGAAATCCTTGGGAACGCTGCAATTAAGGCCTTAACCTTCAGTAGGGTCGGATGTGGTACGATGGCGAGAAAGGGCGGTCAAAGAAGACAAAATACGCGAGAGAGCACGTCGTTTGAGAGAGCATGCTGATCTCACATCAATGAGTGTGGCGTTGGGAAGCGTTCAACGGGGGTCGATGGTTGCGGGACTCTGTTGAGCGATTCAGTGACCTTAGTCGCGTAATTTTTTCAACCAAGGCTGGGAGTGGCATCTGGATAGAACGGCTTCTACAATTGTATCTCGCACGTATCCTTCCCACATGTCTGGACTAACGCCGGGGCTTTGCCTTTTAGGTCAAGGAGCAGTGGCAAGGGCCAGTAGTGCCCGTTTGGCCCACTCTCGAGCATATTCAACCGACCGTGGTATAAGTACTAGGGAGGCGGCTGTATTCGCGGAGGTTACGAAAGGGGAGCGTATTTGCACGGGTTATGGAGGGTGGTCGTATTCGGACACCATTCTCCAAGGCTGATGGTGGTCGTGGGAAGCAATTCGAGACCCTCATGTGAGCGTAGTACGCAGAGAGCAGATTTCTGCGAAGAGTACCAACACCAGGGCTTGCCTAGCTCCAGAAGCCGTGAGCGGCATCGTCAGCCTCTGCAAACAGCTTTGACCTACCAACCGCAAAGGCTATTTTAATGCAGACGATCCTGGGTTTGCCTTTGAGGCACGTGTTAGAACTCACTGTTATCGTTCCTTTTGGGAGCGGCCGGTAGGCATACCTGATCATTTTACCAAAGACAAGAATAAGGACCATATTTGCCTGAAATGCTTGAGAGCTTCCATCTGGGGGCGGCTTCCTTATTACATTTTGAAGGGGTTGTGCTGAAGCTGAACGCTAATGTGGATTGCAGAGGGAAGGGGGAGGTGGTCAACTCAAATGAAGATGAGGTGATACATTCAGAAATCTGGAAATAAACAGCCCGCCTGGAACACAAAACACACGTCATTCTGCCACTGAACCCGGAAATCGGAACGTCTAACGCCCCGGTAACTCTGCAAACCGGTATGCCATCGGGTAAGTTAGAAATGGTGCTCGTGGATCCAAAACTCCAGCACGTACATTCTGTTTTCCGGTTCTCAGGACATCTGTCAACCGTGAGCCTTGGCGGTTCAGCGTTTTGTAGTGATGTCTGGGAGCTCTCACAAGTGCACACTATCACAGCATCTCCTCTTTCTTTATCTTCAAAAGGCTTAGTCCCAATAAGACACAAAGTGTGTGCTTTTCCAGCTACGCTCTCACCCTTTGGTTGACAGAAGCCCTGTAACCGTTTCTCGCGGCCGAGCAGGTCGTAATTACAGACTCCGCGGTAGTCATGGTTCTCGAAATGGTATCGGTTGATAATTCCGATCCTCTTCATACCTGGTCCGATACCACTCATACCCTACCGAAGGGTAACTCCGTCGTGATACTCAAATGAGCCTCACATCCCACCAATTAGACTCTCAGAACCGATTTGATAGCCCTGATAAGGGTGCACTGATATCCTCCGCTTCGTTTCTTGCCAAAGCTGTCTGACTGCCCTACGTTCACGGTAATTTGATAGGTATGCTGCGAAACAGGTTCGGCAACCAGTACGAGACGGCTAACTAGTCTTGAAATGAGTAGGTGCTTTTGCAAACTCCTCTTTACACCCGCATATTTCCTGCCGCAAATCATAGCCATGCTTAAACATATTATACATGTGGAGACCAGCATCTCAAAACATGACCACCACTACTGTCCGCCTCTTCGGATCGTTTCTGTCGGCGGTGCTGTTTTACCCGGAAAAACCTTTCCCGGCGCTAGTGTAACAGATTAGAGCACCGAAAAAGCGTTTGGAGTACGCGAGCAGAAAAAAATCACAAAGGAGTGGGCGACACCGATGGCAGCTCCTCCTCGTCACCGCCGAGCTATATAAGGCTGGCCGGTTGCAAAGGAACCAGTCATAGTGGCTGTGAGCCAGTCGGCCAACCCAGCCAGCGCCAGTCAGCCAGCGCCAGCCAGTAGCCGAGGCCATCACCCCCCATTTTGCAATGGATACGTGGCAGTGCCAGCGCTTAGCCGCCTATCGCTTCGTCGCCTATTCGGCGGTCACTTTCTCGGTGATAGCCGTTCTGTCCATCTGTATTACGCTACCGATGGTCTACAACTATATCCATAGTGTGAAGCGATCCATGCACCATGAGATCAACTTCTGTAGGGTAAGTTTTACCTATGAGGACTTAATGGCACATGCCACATAATATCACACTGTTCCCTTTCCAGAAATCAGTGAAAGACATCTGGGGAGAAGTGACCAACATCAATAGCGCCTCAAATCGTACTGCCCGCCAAGCGGAGATTTCAGCGGAAAGCTGCGAAGGCTGTTGCCTTCAAGGACCAGCAGGACCACAAGGAGCGCCCGGAAAACCTGGTCGTCCAGGTATCCCGGGTATTCCAGGATTACCAGGCGCTCCAGGACGACCACCAATGTATCCATGCATACCGGTAACGCCGCCGCCATGCCAACCATGTCCACAAGGACCTCCTGGAATGCAAGGAATGCCGGGACCACCTGGACCACAAGGCGAACCTGGACGCCCGGCAGAAAGCTATGGAGAGGCAAAGATGGGACCACCCGGACCAAAGGGAGCGCCTGGACTCCCAGGTAACCCTGGAGCTGCAGGACTTCCTGGTGAGCCTGGAATCAATGCCGTGACTTACATGGAAGGTCCCGGTGCTCCAGGACCTTCAGGACCTCCAGGTCCTCCAGGATTACCTGGGCCAAACGGATTGCCCGGCGTTGTCTCACAACCAGGTAAGATCCTTAGATCGTCAAGACGCTCTTATCAGATTATTTTATTCGTGACTTTCAGGCGAACCAGGACCGAAAGGCCCATCGGGTCCACCTGGTCCACCTGGACCTCCAGGAAACCCCGGTGCACCAGGAGAGCCTGGAGCCCCAGGACGTGCTGGTGAGCATGGAATATGTCCGAAGTACTGCGCTATCGACGGTGGTGTGTTCTTCGAAGACGGTACACTTCGACGTCGTTAGAAGGCTAATGGAATCAGTGTTGAGAAAAACGCTTAGAACTATTGTAATGCTGAATAATTTCAAATTAAGTAATAAATATGGTAGTTGAGAAGTCGACCAGAAAGGATAGGAACAGGGATAAAAAGCCGGCTATATAGCCGCCTTGCTTAGGAATGCTATTATGGAACTAGTGTAGGATTTTTTCGAGCTTCCGCCTCCAGTTGTTATTTCTACGATTTGAGCAATTGGCAATAGGCAATTCATTTAGAGCATGGGGAAAAGGACGCAAGGAAAAAACGTCTCGAAAAGGGAAAATAGAAAAAAAAATGAGAAAGTAGCACCGGGTTTTTTAGAATGCGTCGCTGTAACTTTGTTCTGCCCTTCGCACAAAAAAAACTGTGCGCTGCTCACATTTCATTTCACTAGAATATAATAGATGATATGTCCTGTCGCCCTCCAGCCGAAAGAAAAACCTCGTCCAAGTTCCTCGGAATGGAACTCGATACCCTACCTCCCAAATTACTGTTTCGCGACATGCGATAGACTTCTTCGCAGGATCTTCTTTGCCACTTCCTTCTAGGGTGACCTTAGCAGGAATTGTACTGAATCATGTATCGTATGAAGTATGAACGTCATTCTCTCTTTTTTCGGGATGCGCCATGCACTCTACTGCCATAAATAATCATAGAGGCTCTGAATGCGACGCACAATGAAATGCGTGAGCAAACTGACATACAAGTCAGTGTTTTCATCCTCTTGACAAGCCGCTTACCATTAGCTAAACTCGTAGATTTGCCTGAAAACGCCGTACGCATCAAGATTGATCCCCGCCTGTGCAGGCATAGGCGACGGCCACTTGGCACTCCATACCACTTCAGCCACATGCCCCATTTCAAGTTATAAGTTCATGGAACCCCAATAATTCTCCGGATATGATCTATCGGTAACCTCACTTTTTTCCTGCAAACACCCATCCTCCAATTACGATAGAAGCGCCGGGGAGGTGTTTCATCCATAGAGCGAAGTTGAAAATCTCGAATACTATGATTTGGCAAATTTCCAAGATATCGAAGAAGAGCCTATCTGGATTTAGTTCTTCATGGCGATTCCTACAAGCAGCGTGCAAGAATTGCGAAACGATCGGCCCTGTTCTTCCCGATTACTTCTTCTTTCACAACCTCCTTGTGTAGCTACACAATCTCAAAGAATATCGCCCTCGATCTTTGGGTAGCTATTTTAGTGAATTATCTGGGCGCTGTCGCAAAATACGGACTCTAGGACGGAGGGGCACGCAACCTCGAGAAATTCACGTACTGAAAGTCTTAGGTATGTCGATAGTATACCGATCGCGCGACAAGAAGCAGAGTCGGCGGACGGGTTGCAGCGCGTGTTGTGCGATGTAGGACCTACAATGCCTCGTTGTATTTAACTTGACGCGGAATCATTACAGTACGCGTTCGACTCGCCCGCTGTCTCTGCCTTGTTGCCGCGCGACGGGCCTACTGTCGGACCGCGGAGTCCTCTCTTCAATCTCGCCTTAGCCTCCCATTCTCGCTTTTCAGTCAGGGATCAAATCCTGGGTCCGTGACGTCACCCGGATAAAAACACTGACTTGAACATCGGCTGGCCCCCGCAAGTCATTGTATAGGCCACATCGCATTCAAATGCCACTGCGAATGTACAAATGGAAGTAGAATGCGTGCCGCATCCCAAAACGGGATTGATCAACGGCAAATGCTTTATCCTTTATCCTTTATCCTTATCGGCTCTTATAACTTCGTATAATCACTGTTTTGCTAGTAACTATCCGTACAAGATCTGCCCCTATATGCTCCAAGTTACAACCTTAAGGCAATTTTAAATAACCTCTCGTTTAGTGTCACGAACGTTCAGCCGCCTGTTGGCTTTCTGTGGGCCTTTTCGTTCCATGTCGCATAAAACGTCCTCCAAGACCTTGAACTTCGCTTACAACATGCCGTAGCTACCATAGACCTTCTCCCCTGACCGTTATATTTTCAAACCCCAATTTCATCAGTTTCTTGAGGCTCTTCGTCGCATTGTGCTTGACCTCAAGACGCTCTTCAAGAACTACCCACATGTCTGTAACACAAAAACACCAAAACCTTTCATTGCAAAACAATTTCCAATATGTTTTCCAAAAGCTATGAATTCCTTCCCACACAGTCCCAAAAACGTATGAAAAATGTTTCCTCTGGAAAATCCCGGTGTGTCCAACCGAACTTCTCGCTAAGAATTACAATCTCATACCTTTTTTTGTGGTTTTTCCTATTTTCTGCGGTTAAAAACCTTCAAATGTCAAGTGATGTTTCCAATGACCCTGGGCGATTCCATATCCATGAAGTGTTCTTTTTTGACCTTGAATCTATGAGCGGCCGCCTTGCTAAATAACCCATGAACCTGGCGGTGTCTAGTCGATCTACATCGACGATTGCAAAGTTTAACTCGACGTTGAGATATTCTCTTTAAAGCTGAGCCATCAAAACCAGCATTTATATTTCCCAAGCAGCCTAATAGGAAGCGTGGTGCGGGCAAATGCGCATCCTTATGCTCTTTATTGCCTTTTCCTCCCCTTCACTTCCTCTGCTGTTGTTAGTTGGAAGCAGGGTCAACCCTACGTTGGTACAAGTACCAACGGGGGGTCGTACTTGGTTTAGCTTGGAGGGGGGGTCGTATCCGCTTCAGTTTGTGATGGGGGGTCGCATCCGCTTCAGTTTGTGGTGAAACTCGAGTTTTAAATTTTTGCTGTTTCATAGGTATATAATCCTCTTCCCCTTTCTTTCTTTCTGACCGGCATTTTGTTTTGGAGGGAAAGTGGGCGTAATTTGGTTGTTGTTTGAGTGTATTCTAGAATTATATACTATAAGAGGAATATGGTGGTTCTGTTATTTTTGGTTCCATAAAAGGCGTCGGCCCGAATTCCATGTCCTTCGGGGAAAGGGGGCGTAAAAATTTGCAAAAAGTAACCCAATGATAGACAGACCTGGTGGAAGGTTCGTATCCCTCAGAAGTCCTTTAATTTGGATATAAAATTGAACACTCATAAGTGGGACGGCATCAGTGTGGGACGTAAAGATTCATGTTTTTCTGCCAGGAGCATCCAAAGTAAGTGAAGTGGTTGGGTGCACGGGCTGTCTTGCTCCACTTTTGATTTTAGAGCTTAGCGTAAAACGGAGAACATTTCATTGCTCCGTTTTTCCAGTTTTGTGCTGTGAAGTATTATCTAAGCATTGCCTAAGTGACGAATGTTCACGTATTTTCGTTTACAGCCCTTGTTTTCCGCCTTTCGTCATATTTGTTTCCTTTCACTCGACTGTTCTGGTAGCTGTTTAATGGTTGCATTTTAAGTAAGTATATATGCTTCCAACAAACAAGTCCTGGGTTATTCGCGGCCATCCTTTTTGTGGATTCGATCTGGTTTCTTGCAATTCCTTGGTAAATATATTAAGCGCTAATGTCTACCTGTCCATGTGTCTTTCTTTTTCGGTTATGGAACAAACATTACCTGAAGAGTCTCCTGGGAAAGCTGTATCTGGTCGAGGATCCTCTTCTCGCTGAATCGAGATTAGTGATGTAAATGTGTGCGTTTTCGACGCTGCCATTTTTCGCTTTTACGTTCAGTTAGGTCTTTACCTCAGCGACCCATCTTCCTCGATCTCCGCTTCCCTTTGTTATCGTTCGGTGAACCTCCATTCGGGGGGGCACTCTCATTTTGTTCCTTCTAATCACTCAGATAAGGTGAGAGGGCTCCATGGACCGTCGACGACTTCATTTTTGATAGTAGAACTTCTGATAACTATTGGGTGTAATGGTGAGAAATCCCTTGATAGACTCAGCTTTCACATTCCGCACTGCCATGACCCAAGGGTAACTTGGGTCCCTGACTCAGGGAGAACATGGACATCCTGGTTCCGCAAAGGGCTATGTTGCGGAAAGTCTCCCCCGGTATCACCTTTGCAGAAAAGTGGAACGTGATTTCTGTTTTCAAGTTAGTGTGGATAAAAAAAAAATGTAGGCCATCGACCGATCTTACCAATAGTACGCTTCGAACTGAGTCGTTCAACTGTGTTAATTATCTACCGTTTATTGTTCGATAGCCAAAGAAGCTCTCTTTACTACAGAATAAATAGCGAATTGGAGTGTCCCCGTCCCCGAGAATTTTGGAGTTTCAGTTCGTATTCTTGCCTAGCCCCGCTGGAATCGCCGGACCTTTCTCTCGCTAAGCTCCGCGAAAGAGAACATTGAAATTTTTTTTCAGTAGTTTCTATCATGATAAACTATGTGATTTGCTGTTTTCGAACCGCACGTCTGTTCTCGGGCGCGTAATACGTGCTGACAACAGAGATGTGCCTTCAAATATACCTATTTAAGAAATTATTATTTATTATTTAACAAGGTTTTCTATTGTCTAGCTTCATCTTCGAAAGTCGGACATGTGGTCAGACGCATGGATGATCGGTGGACCACACGCCGTTACGTTCTGGTATCCACGAGACGTGAAGCGCACACTTGGCCGTCCTGCAACACGATGGAGAGACTCCCTGAAGAAACTTCAAGAAGATGCGGGCCAACACTGGGCCCAAACCGCTCAAGATCGTCAAAAATGGAGGGAAGCGTGTGCTCGCCGCTGAAGATCATCGGCTGACAACGAGCATCCAAGTATCCAATAAAGTAAGTAAGTATCATGGCATGTCTGAATTCCTCATCATGCTCCACCAGTTCTACTCGATTTTCTTTGTCAGGTAGACGCGCTATCAAGTTAAATACAGGGGGGGGGCCAAAAAAAGAGTCACTCTCACTCACATTCAAAACAGAATTAATTACACTTTGCGAAACCAAACCGAATGAGCTCAATTGCATATTGAAGAGCACATTCTATTCTATCAAAAAATTACATACCTTTCTACACCGACGACATCAGAAGATTTTCCCACGGAAACATGGTTCACGGTACGAGCTCAACGAGGTCGTCGAGGTACCATAGACGATTACGACGTCTCTGA